AGCAGCTCCACGTGCAGGCCCGAGCCGTCCCCGCCGCTCCCGCTCCCGCCACTCCCGCTCCCGCCTCTTCCACCGCCACCGTCGGGCGCGCCCACGAGCCGCTCCACCGTTGCAGCGGTCTGAAGCGCCAGCTCGCGCGAGGGCGAGAGAAGGAGCAGCTGCATTGGCACACCAGGCTCGAGCCGCGAGAGCAGCGGCACGAGGAAGGAGAGCGTCTTGCCGGAGCCGGTGGCGGAGTGGACGACCACGTCGGCATGCCGCGCAATCGCCGGCATCGCGGCCGCCTGGATCGCACTCGGCCGCTCGAACCCCGCCGCTGCGAGCGCGTGCGCCAGCCACGGCCGCACACGCTGGACGCCAAAGCGCTTCAGCACGCCAGAGACATTATCATCGCCGGCGGTCCTGCTCGGAGCCTCGTCGGGCGTGGCGTCAGGCCTCAGCGTCGCGGGTACGTACACGCCTTGGGAAATCGCGGTGCTGCGGGCGCGCGAGCGGCCGAGGACCAGGCGCCTGGCGAGGGCAGCGCTGGCAAGTGCAAAGCGCCTCATATATATATATGTCGGAGAGCCCATGCCTCGTTCGCCTGGGCCGCTTATCCTCTTGCGACCCGATGCTTCACTCATGCTTCGGTGTGAATCACGCCCGCTGTGAAAACATTTTGCGGGGGATTTTTTCGCCAGTCAATAGAGCATGAAAATACCTTTCAGACGGTACCTTTCTGTCCTCCAGAGTCGAAGAACTCGACCGGTGGCTGGCCGCCAAAGTGGCTGGACGGCGCCGCGGCGCACACTGGTGAGCCGCGGAGCACACCAAGGGAGCTGTCCTCGGCGCAGCCGATCAGCTCCCGCGGCCTGGGTGATGGCAGTGGCACTCTCTGAGGCTCCCTGATTTTTTCTGGTATTTGTTGAGCACTCTCTGGTCACCATCGCCGGGCGAGCCTGGCTCTCGCTGCACAGCGGCGCGACCCGCGGTGAGGCTGCCGATCGTCGAACTGGGCTTAGCTCTCAGTCAAGATATTGTGCATATGGTCGGTCTCTACAATATCTTGACTGAGCACGACCGATGAATCGGCAGCACGGAGACAGGAAGGCTCGCTGTGTGAGTCGGCCACGCAGAGGGTCGGAACCTGGGTCGCAAGAGGTTATGATCGTGTACGTACAGAGTTTGTTGTAGAGATTTCATGTCACTCTCTCACGTTGTAGAGCGCGGGGCAACAGGGAGCAGGCAGTAAAGCCGTAGCCCACCCCTTGAGAGACACCTTCGGCGCAACAACCGGGCACGAAAAAAAGTCGGCAGTTGTTCTTTTCCTCGCGATGTGAGAGATTTTTAGCAATACCTTAATGTGATGTTACAGGTGGGTTAAGAGGGAGATGTGCGCGAGCTGCGGGACCGCCGGGACGGCGGGCGGGTGATTGCGACGCGCCGCCACTTTTGGCGACTTTTGGGACGCGCGTCAATCGGCCGAGATTCGGC